ACGACGAAATATTCACTGATGTCAAAAACAATATGGAAATATAGAGTGGGAAGGCTTTGTTAGAATTTTAAAATGTTAAATTTGGTGAAGATCCATCCACAGGAGGTGAGGTAGTGGTAAAAAAACGCAAAAAAAAACGCCAATAAAAACCGCGAAATGGAAAACTGAAAATGTTTTAGTTTTGTTTTTAAGGTAGAAGTGTCAGCCTTCAGTGCTGACTACCTCAGTGTCTTTTTTTTTTTATCAAAGCCTTAGAAAAGGCCTTACTCTGTTCTTTTTGAATTATTTAGTAGAGGTAATACCGTGACTGACGATATTTTTTTCCCTCTAGCACAACCATTGGCTTTCTTTCGGGAAAAACCGGTTCGTGGTTAAGTAATAGAATTGACACAGCCCGAGTGTTCGGTTTTTCAACAACTGTAGGAGCTAGATCTGCAAGTTAAGCGTTGGGATAATACTTCAGTGTCATGGCGGAGGATAACCTGGCTTATCAGCTCAATGTGAGTAAACGTTTTATTTTCGGTTTAATGTGAAACTTTAACTGAATCAACGATCGTTGCCAGTCGTCTCCGTAATTATAGTTAAGCATACGTTTTGTAGCAGCACAAATCCACAGACTTGTACTTTAAAGATCTCGCATACATCTGAAAATATGTAGAAATATAGTCTGACAGTAACTGTAGTTAAGCATACGTTTTGTAGCAGCACAAATCCACAGACTTGTACTTTAAAGATCTCGCATACATCTGAAAATATGTAGAGATATAGTCTGACAGTAACTGTAGTTAAGCATATGTTTTGTAGCAGCACAAATCCACAGACTTGTAATTTAAAGATCTCGCATACATCTGATAAAATATAGACATAGTGTGACAGAGTTTCTGATGTCAAACTTTAAAGTGTGTTATACGTAATAGTCCACTCACACACCTCCTCTCGGAATAAGTCACGTTTACCAAACAAAACGTGGAGAAGTAGACGGATGGCATAGATGTTTAGACCGAAACACATTTGATCTAATTCAGTTTGTTGAGCTTTTACTTGCCCTACTTATACAAAGTAGCACTAAGAATGTATATCAAAAAATCTATTAAACATTTCTCATTGTCTGTGAACTGCTGTAATCGAAACTCAACAATCCAAATCGCGTTTCCTGGCATAGATGTTCAGAAACTTCTCGAATTTAACGTAAGCACATGCAACAACTGCTCCAGTTATATATTAACGTGTTGTTCTTAGGTAATTTGGTATAAGGATATACATTTTTGTGCTCTGCTATCTAAAAGCGACTTGATTGTTTATAATATCGAGATCTATCGGAATGACAAAATCATATTTGTTTGTTTTAGTGCAAATGTAAAAAAAAAGGGTGAGCTACCTACAATTTGTCCATCACAGGGAATCAAACCCTGGATTTAAGCGTTGTAGAAAATAATCAAGAAACAGTCGTTTGTTTGTTTTAGACCAAAGACATACTGTGTTATCTGCTGTGTCAACAACGGAGAATCGAACCCCGGAATTTAGCGTTGTAATTCCATAAACGTACCTGAATTCCATCGGAGGACCAAATAAACGTTATGAAAGTATATTAGGGTATGCAAAACATTAACGAATGGTTTAGATGCAAATTATTGTAGGTCATTAGTGATGAGTAAAGAACTGAAAATCAAAATCAAACAAATTTCTTACATTCCGCCACTATACGAGGCTTACTTGACTTATTTGCTTCACTCCTCCAAATGGCACTCATGAGTCGTGAATTCGGCGAAACTAGTCTGTTATAGCAAAAAAAATCGGGCCTTTTCTTCAATGTCATTCACGTTTTTGGTGAAGCAAGAAAAATAACAAATATGCAAAACGTCAGAGTTTTATCATTAACATCGTTCTTGTTGTATAAAGGACACATTTGGCAGGAAAGTTGTTTGAAGTGGACAACCTGCTTGATAAAACTGGTGAATAGACAACGTTTAGATACAACGAAGACACTTGAAAGCCCTTTCATCGTTATTTCAATTTTAACAATAATTGTCTATAAGTACACTCTCAAGCCATATTTCAGGTTTTTTTTAGCTAACAGTTTCTTAAGAGTGATTGCGATATTTGTTTTTTTTTCGTTTTTTATCTTAAAACTATACTCTTGTCTGGAGAAAATGCTAAAGGTTTTCTGAATTTTTTTTTACCCCCTATACATGCAAACAGAAGCTTATCTCGCACAATTTAATCGCTACTACTGCGTTTGTTTTAGCTGTAAATTTGGAGTTAAATACCCGGGGTGTTCAGAATGTAGACAATTTATTTTCGCCCAGCTAGTAATATAAGCTATTACATCACGATGTAAATAAAAGTAAAAGCAGAATAAAATATTTTTAAAAAAATTAAACAAAATATTGGACATGTGTATGCATACGCACAAGTGCACGTACACCTACGCAACAAGAACAACGAAAAACATGCACATATGTGGTAGTTTAGAATGGCCGTGAATGGAAAAGCTAACTGCTGGATCATGTTGAAAATGCTGAAAAAAATTAAGATCAAGAAGTAGAGGGGGAAAAAAATCAACCAAAAATAAATGGGGAGATTGGGATCAGATATGTCCAATCCTTTCGAATTTGATTTGGGAGGTGAGGTAAGGAACTGGAGTTCCCCACTTTCACCGGGCGGGCCCCAAAAATGTACCTTCCCAGTGCCCAAAATTTACAATATAAGTTCTACGACCATTGTTTATCTGTCTCACTCACATGTACCTGTATATATGTATATATGTTTGTCCATAAGAATGCGTTTATAATCTAACACATTGGTGCTAGGAGAAATTGATCGCGTTGTAATATTTATAACATTTATGATAATACGAAACATAATGATCGAGCTGTATAAGGTTACCAAACACGAGACAGAAAAAAAAATTAAAACACTCTAAAACTACCGTTCAAGATAGATAACAGTTCTGATACTGGGGAGTTTGAAAAATGACGTTTCTTCCAAACATAGCGAATGATGAGCGTCCATACCCGTCATCCTCAAGTCTAACACTGATCATAATTATATGTTGTTAAAGATAAACCAATATGTATTGTTAAACATTGCTTAGTTACACTATTGGAGCAGAGGAAATAACCTACCTTTACTAATTCCGAGATGTGTATATTATAGCAACACTGGGTATTTTTAAACTTATTTTGTTCATTCATTATTCAGTATTAAAATTCTAAAATAAAAAGGGCCTTTACTTTTAGTTGCCCTCCAGTGGCACAGCGGTATGTCTGCGGACTTACAACGCTAGAAACCGGGTTTCGATACCCGTGGTGGGCAGAGCATAGATAGCCCTTGTGTAGCTTTGTACATAATTAAAAACAAACAAACAAAACAAAAACAATACTTTTAGTTTTAAGGGGTGATAATGGATCAGAGAAGAATAAACTACAAAATGTTTCAATTATCTATGATATTAAACGCTATAGGTTTTCATTGTGGAAAAGTTTATCATTCAGTAATCTATTTTTATCCCCTGACAGAAAATATTCAGGAGGGGGGTATACCGATGACACTGCTCGTCCGTCAGTCTGTAGAGATCTACTTTCCTTACGATAGCTAACATTCTAAGCCGTAAATTTTAATTAAATATCACTAGACACTTCCGTTGGGATAGGGAAATAATCCTATTGGTCTTGGAGTTAAAAGATGGAAGTTTAAGATCACCAAACCCAACAAAAAGTTGATGATCAGCCAATCAACTAATGTCTATTTTAAATAAAACATGAGTAATTCGAGAGGATGTTGTGCTACGCAGATCTTACCTTACAAATCCCAATAATCTTATTCAACGTTTATTGTTAGATTAATTTCATACAGACAAAATTAATTAGGTTTGTTTTGAATTTCGCGCAAAACTACACGAGGTCTACCTGCGCTAGCCGTCCCTAATTTAGCAGTGTAAGCCTAGAGGAACTCAGTTAGTCATCATCACCCACCGCCAACTCTTGGGCTACTCTTTTACCAACGGATAGTGGGATTGACCGTCACATTATAACGCCCTCACGGCTGAAAGGGTGAGCATGTTTGGTGGAACGGGGATTCGAACCCGCGACCCTCAGATTGCGAGTCGAGCGCCCTAACCACCTGGCCATGCCGGGCTTTACCAACGAATAGTGAGATTGACCATCACATTATAGCGCCCCTGTGCTTTGAAAGGGCGAGCGTGTTTGGTAGGATGGGATTCGAACCTGCGACCCTCAAACGCCCTAACAACCTGGCCATGCCGGGACAAATTAATAAGGAGAATCATGGAGATGAGTGCAGACAAAAGTTGTAAAATACAGATTCACTCTGTACACTTGTCTTAAAATCATTATTATTGTTATTAAAAATCAAATAGTGTTAAATTTGGGACTGGACGAGATAAATACAAGATAAACGAAGAAAAAAAAACACATTTATATTAAGACTTCCTGGATGTTTATAAAGACTTATTTTATCTCAATCCTGTAAAGGCGGAGGGTTATGGAAGACTGATCACGATATCGGTGACACAAATTTGCTGTCTTTGTCATTCTCAATGAATCTATAATTTCGACATTTCTCTTACTGCATGACAAATTCTCAACATACACTCTTCCAATTACAAAGTTTGATCAAATCTAAAATAATATACGGTTGAACATCTACACGTATCCTGACTCTCTTTCAAGAGTTGTAGATAATCCAGGAAATGAAATGGCATAGATAAAACTACAGAGTGCCTATTGTACCACTAAGCCAACTTAGATTTTGATACATAATGTTTCCGTTATTAGTTTCAATATAATCAGAAACTATTCTGCTAATTAAGCCATTGGACCTTTTGATTTTAATTTATAATGAACTCATCAAACTAATCAATGAATTAATTGGAACTTGTTGTGACTTTGATGTGTGATGAACTCGTCAAACTAATCAATGAATTCATTGGAACTTGTTGTGACTTTGATGTGTGATGAACTCATCAAACTAATCAATGAATTCATTGGAACTTGTTGTGACTTTGATGTGTGATGAACTCATCAAACTAATCAATGAATTCATTGGAACTTGTTGTGACTTTGATGTGTGATGAACTCATCAAACTAATCAATGAATTCATTGGAACTTGTTGTGACTTTGATGTGTGATAAACTTATCAAAACTAATAAATGAGACCAACCGAAGTTGTTGTTATTTTGATCAGTAACAAACTCAACAAAACTTGGATAAGCGCTAACAAAGTTATTAAAAAAAGCTGAAATGAAAATTTATTTATTTGTGTTTATAAGTGATCAATAATAGTTCACAATGGGTCAACACAAAGAGAAATGCTTAACGTATAAAACATCATATAAAAAATGGAAATTGGGTTTTGGTTGGTTGGTTTTACAACAAAGCCACTTTTTTTGTGTCCAAATCAGTGAATCGAATCCCAGATTTTAGCGTTATAAATCCGTAACATTACCGCTGTCCCACAGGGAGACAAAAAATTAGAAATAATTTTGAAGATATGTACAAAATAAGAGGACTTAAAAAGTGAGCTGTAACTAAGAAATATATAGCAGTTGAAAAAGGATTTAATCCAAATATATAGCAGTTGAAAAAGGATTTAATCCAACTATATAGCAGTTGAAAAAGGATTTAACTCAACTATATAGCAGTTGAAAATGATTTAATCCAACTTTTTAGCAGTTGAAAATGATTTAATCCAACTATATAGCAGTTGAAAAAGGATTTAACTCAACTATATAGCAGTTGAAAATGATTTAATCCAACAATATAGCAGTTGAAAAAGGATTTAATCCAACTATATAGCAGTTGAAAATGATTTAATCCAACTATATAGCAGTTGAAAATGATTTAATCCAACTATATAGCAGTTGAAAAAGGATTTAATCCAACTATATAGCAGTTGAAAATGATTTAATCCAACTATATAGCAGTTGAAAATGATTTAATCCAACAATATAGCAGTTGAAAAAGGATTTAACTCAACTACAGAGCAGTTAAGAAATTCGCACATGTTACCTTAAAACCATATTATGATAAAACTAAAAAGAAATGGTTTGTGTTGCCATACGTTCAAGGTTTAATTTCTAGTTTATTCAAAGTGTTTAAAAAACAACAAATATTTTACTCTGTATTTAAATCGATGAATAAAATAAAACAAACATTAGGTAACTGATGATGACAAAACCTCGTCGAAACGTTGTACATTTGCTGTTATGTTAAACTTATATTAAAGTTTTTCTTCATTACCCATTCAAGCCGTCTCCAGCCATTATTAAACATTAGGTAATACGAAAGATAATATGCAGGTAATGGAAAAATCTGGACTTTATAACATTTAATGTGGATGTGGAAGTGTTTTTATTGGACAGACAAAACGTAGTTTAAAATGTCGTTTAGCAGAACATGAGGAATGTGTAAAAAATGAAAAGTCTGAAAATTCGGCCATAACAAAACATTTATAAAAAAAAACAGAACATAAGATATTATTAAAAAACAGTAATATTGGCTCAACGAAAGGGTATTATAGCCAATAATATCCACGAATCTTTAGAAATGATAAAGTTTCGAATATATAATGAATTATTAAATAGAGACGAAGGTCCGGCGAATATCTTTATAAGAATGTGTCGGGAACTCCTCTGAGGCCCCTCAGTGACACAGCGGTATATCTGTGGAATTACAACGCTAAAAACCGATTTTCGATACCCGTGGTGGGCAGAGCACAGATAGCCCACTGTGTAGCTTTGGGCTTAACATAAAAAAGAAAACCTCCTCTGAGATTTATGCAGAAATGTAAACTTACACACAGGTCACCTAACCGAGCTAAGAATGACTGCCACTTTTATAACGCACCCACGGGGACCTCGCGTGAAACAGAGAGAGAGAGTAAAAACGATTACGTAAGCTTTGTGCCTTTGTATTGTACAAAAAGGCCAACCTGATTGCAGCCATCATAACCTCTCACTTTCATTGAGTACTACAGATATCATGTGGTTCTCTACCATCCTAAAAAGTGTAAATAGTGACTATTTATTGTTTCAGTTGCAAATATTAACACGCATAATGAAATTATGTGGAAAGGCAAGACCCTCTGTACCAAGCTCTCTAAGAAATCCTAATGCATCCTTGCTTTTACCTCTATTTTTATGTGGAGACAAAAGTTACGAAGATGATAGGTACTGGTCATCATTTGGAGACACTAGTTACAAAGATGATAGGTATTGGTCGTCATTTGGAAACACTAGTTACAAATATGATAGGTATTGGTCGTCATTTGGAAACACCAGTTACAAAGATGATAGGTATTGGCCATCATTTGGAAACACTAGTTACAAATATGATAGGTATTGGTCGTCATTTGGAAACACTAGTTACAAAGATGATAGGTATTGGTCGTCACTTGGAGACACTAGTTACAAATATGATAGGTATTGGTCGTCATTTGGAAACACTAGTTACAAATATGATAGGTATTTGTCGTCGTTTGGAGACACTAGTTACAAAGGTGATAGGTATTGGCCATCATTTGGAAACACTAGTTACAAAGATGATAGGTATTGGTCGTCACTTGGAGACACTAGTTACAAAGATGATAGGTATTGGTCGAGTTAAAAAGGTGATAGGTATTGGTCATCATTTGGAGACACTAGTTGCAAAGATGATAAGTATTGATTGAGTTACAAAGATGATAGGTATTGGTCGAGTTACAAAGGTGATAGGTATTGGTCGTCATTTGGAGACACTAGTTACAAAGATGATAGGTATAGGTCGTCATTTGGAGACACTAGTTACAAAGGTGATAGGTATTGGGCGTCATTTGGAGACACTAGTTACAAAGATGATAGGTATTGATCGAGTTACAAAGATGATTGGTATTGGTCGAGTTACAAAGGTGATAGGTATAGGTCGTCATTTGGAGACACTAGTTACAAAGGTGATAGGTATTGGTCGTCATTTGGAGACACTAGTTACAAAGATGATAGGTATTGATCGAGTTACAAAGATGATTGGTATTGGTCGGGTTACAAAGGTGATAGGTATAGGTCGTCATTTGGAGACACTAGTTACAAAGATGATAGGTATTGGTCGAGTTACAAAGGTATGAGAGGTATTGGTCGTCATTTGGAGACACTAGTTACAAAGATGGCAGGTATTGATTAAGTTACAAAGATGATAGGTATTGGTCGAGTTACAAAGGTATGAGAGGTATTGGTCATTGTTAGTCTTAATAAAATAATATGGCATGATGTGTCAAGTTTTGATTATGTTCGCTCTTACAATTACATTTACCTATTAGTTGGGGCTTTGGTGTAAGAAAAAGGTACATTAGAGTGCTTTAATGATCCTGTTTATTGAAGTACTTCCAGATCTCGTGCAAGAAAATTAGTCAAGACATGTGCAACTGTAAATCCCTTAAAATGTTATTAGAAAATTGAGAACAAATAACAATATAAATTACAATCAGATTAATATTTATCAAACTCTTGAAAGTTGTTTACAGTGGGAGGAAAATAATTATAAAAATATCAACATTTAAGGTAAAACCATTCTCCATTATAACGTGTCTTACATATAACGTTAAAGAACATGCGTACTTTATTGTATGTTGCATCCTTGTGTTTGAATATATACCGAATTTGATAAATAGAGGATTAAATTGTTTTGGTTGTGGTTAGGCACAAAGCTACCCAGTGGGCTATCTTTGGTATGCCCGATTTTTAGCGTCGTAAGTCTGAGCCACTGAGGACTCAAAATATTGAGTACTAACATTTTATTATCCTATTTTGATAATTTATTAATAAAAAAAGTGTAAAATGTAGTACAAATCCCATCACTATATTCCCTCATAAAGCTGGATATTAATACTTATGTTTTACGTTTTCAGGAGGAGCCCTATTTACAGGGGAAAAAACAAATGAAGAGGAGACAAAGGTAGACTACCGTATAGAAATGGTATTGTGTATTCAACATATTTTTAGTCTGTGTGTGTGTTTTACAAATCTTAACATGTATTATTCTACTTGTACTTCCAATTCCTTAAGAAAGGTTCGGAGGGGGAGGGGTTAAAAGTCGAAATATAGACCAATAGTAATATATATTATCATAAAATAAAGGTATATAGTAGCCTGAGAATTATATTTTCAAATATAAACTTGAATAATTGATTTTAGCTTTCAAACAAAACACTAATTCAATCTACGAGCTTCAACGTTCCTAATTTCTGACTCTTTTTTTTTTTTTTTGTTTAAGATTCGTTAATTCATCATTCGTAGTTCGGTAAGATTGATACTGCAAAATAAATTCGGTCTGGAGGTTCATTGGGTCCATGGGCAGACACAAACAAATTTTCTGTTACGCATTTTGCGTTTTGCCATTTTTATGGGCGTTTTTAACAATTACATATAAGGGAAGCTACTTTTCATGTCCTGAGATAACTTTTAATTAATCATGAATTTACATAACTTCTGTCCAGGGGACGGGTACTCCAGCTAATATCTACATAAATATAATAGTACTGTCTGTTGTCTGTTACATGTCTATGTAACTACTTCGCAGGGTGTGGACGGATCTTCACAAAAATTGGTATGGAGGTTCATTAGGACTATGAACCTGGTAGATACAAATTTTCAGTTTTGCATTTTGCGGTTTTTATGGACGTTTTTTGCATTTTTATCACTACCTCACCTCCCCTGGATGGATCTTCACCAAATTTGGTATGGAGATTCACTGGGTCTATGGAAAGATACATGGAAACTTGTGGTTGTACATTTTGTGTTTTACAATTTTTATGGGCGTTTTTTACAATTACATATAAGGGAAGCTACTTTTCATGTCCTAAGATAACCTTTCATTAATCATGAATTTTCGTAACTTCCGTCTAGAGGACGGGTAATCCAGCTAGTATTTATATGATGATAATAGTACTGGCTGTTGTCTGTTGTATGTCCATGTAACTACTTCGCAAGATGTGGATGGCATATTGAACCGAATAGTGGGATCTAACTATCATACTTATAAAATGATAAAAACCCTATAACCCGAGAGCTTTCGAAAAGTAGGACCTTTTTTCTTCAGGAGCAGTTTGATCCTGAAGAAGAAG